GTATGCATGTATGTATGTATGTATGTATGTATGTATGCATACACTAACAATAAATCGAAATTTCCATAATTCTCCTTGCTCGCTATCTTATTCCAACGGACGCTGATGATGAAAAAAAATAGTAATTATAAAAATAATAATAACAACAACAACAATAATAATAATAATTTATATAATAACAATAATAATTATTGAAATTATAACTATAATAAGAAATTATAACTCAAGAGTCTCGCCCTGAGGAACGACAATATTAATGACGTCAGATATCAGTTTGTACTTCATTATCCGGTCAGCTGAAGTTGTGGAAGTTAACGACGGTGAAGCGTTTACCTGATTATTATTATTAATATTTATTTATTATTATTATTTATTATTATTATTTATTATTATTATTATTTATTATTATTATTTATTTATTATTATTATTTATTTATTTGTTTATTATTTCAAACAAACTTTGCGAACCGACCTCTATCAGCCAGGGTTTCATGTTGTCGTCTATGATAATATCATAACTGTGTGGTGAATGAGTGATGAATGAATGAGTGAGTGCGCGAATGAATGAATGAATAAATAAATGAATGAATGAACGAACGAACAAATGAATGAAAGATGAATGAACGAGAGAACGAACGAATGAACGAGCAAAAAATTTACCCATAAGTTTCGAAGCAGTGCCGATCGTTGGCTATTATTGGCTGTCAGATGAAATATAACCGGTTAAAAATAATTATAATAGAATTATAACAATAAAAACAATAATAACATAATAATAATAATAATAATAACAATAATAATATAAATAAATAATAATAAAACTTAACAGCAACGGCTTTTAAACTGTGAACGATAAGCCAGTGGATGTCGTCGAATAGCTTATCGGCGATCTGGATGAAAAAAAAACTAAATAAAAATAACAAAATTAAAAGAATAATAATAATTAATAATAATAATTAATAATAATAATAATTAATAATAATAATAACCTCCTTGCTCCTGGTTCCGCCGATGAAAAGCTTCAGATTTTCGATGGTCCACTTGCCACCGTGAATTGAGTTATAGTCGTCCTAATGTGCAACAACAACAACAATAACAATAATAATAATAAAATAATAATAATAATAATAATATAATAATAATCGACAAAATACAATTCAAAATAATGAGAAATAAGAAATGGAGTTTAATAAAAATTGAGTTTTAATGAAATGTACGATCCTCCTAGGCTCGATGACGCTGCATGTGCATAGGAGGAGTGAAAGATATATTTAATTATGCATTGTTTATATAATATAATAATAATATAATATAATAATAATAATAATAGTAATAATAATGACCCCGTCCTTCTGTATTGAAACGTTGGTCAGATGCACAAACATGTTGTCGAGGTCGTTCAGGTTGGCATTGTACTTAACAGTGCAAAATCGGCAGAAGCCTAAACTATACCTTGAGATTCATTTTTTTAACAAATAGATGGATGGATGTATGGATGGATGGATGGATGAATGGAATGTAAAAAAGAATGAATGATATATTTGTTCTTTTTTTTTTATTGAAATCTGTTTGTCAATGATTTAACAGGCATGAACGACCAACCGACCAACTAACCGACCGATCGACCAACCAATCAATCAATCAATCGAAACCAACCAACCGACCAATCAACAATCAAACTGACTAACATATAGCACTTAAGAGGTCTGAATGACGTCACGAGAACGTACAACCTAAGATCAAATTTCTTTCCGCCAATCAAAAGAGGATTATCGATGTATCTTGAAATGACATACACTTCTTTTGTCGGTGTTGAAAACCTTGTGTGTTTGTGTGTGTACGTGTACATATGGGCGTATGCATGTGCGTTTGTGTGTGTACCTACGTGTGTATGTATGTATGTATGTATGAAAAAAAACCACCAACGAATTTGTTTTACTGTCTCGAGACCATTTCTTAAGTTGGGACAGTTTATTGATGAGAAATATGCCGATACCCCGAGCTTTGTAATCAAGAAATTATTTGTTATATTATTTGTTATTATACACATACACACACACACACACACACACACACACACACATACACAGGCACATACATACACACATACTCACCTTTCCCGGCAGGTTTCATAATCCAAGTGCTTGAAGGGTTTTTCCGAAATTCTTCAACAAATAAATTATAGTCAGCTGGTAGCATGAACGTTATCGGGATGAAATCTGTGTGTGCGTGTGTGTGCGTATGTGTGTTTGATGATTGATACTATCATTATTGCTAGTGTTATGATCAATCGGTCAGCCAATCAATCAATCAATTAGTCACTTAATCAATCAAACAATCAATCAATCAACTAATCAATCAATCAATTAATTAGACAACCCAGGTAGATATATCTCCCGGAATCATCTTTGTCGGCCAGCACGTTTCCATCCTTTTCGAGTTCTTTGCGGTATTTTCGGATGTTTTTCACCATCAAATCTTTTCTCGTCAGCTCGTAATGATTCGGAAAGTGATTCACTATTCTGAATGAATGAACAAGCGATTGAATGAATGAGTGAATGAATGAGTGAATGAATCACCGATTGATTGAATGAATGAATAAATGAATGAATGAATGAATGAATGAATGAATGAATGAATGAATGAATGAATGAATGAATGAATGAATGAATGAATGAATGTGCAAGTAATTAATAACACACTCAAAATGTTAATGAAAATGAGAAGTTAACTTACTGGCAATCATTCAATCTGTAACCATTCTCAACGCTAAATAAACTTCTTACCGACTGAACTGTCGCCCTAAATAACAAAAATTTCAAATCAAACAGCAGCTTTTCAATCAATCAATCAATCAATCAATCAATCAATCAATCAATCAATCAATCAATCAATCAATCGGCCAGTCATTCAATCAACCAATCAATCGGCCAATCAATCAACCAACCAACTGCGAACTGACCAGTAAAAGTTCCAATCTTCATCTGGGGACACGGCAATCCATCCACGTTTTTCGAAATTATTTATCAAAACCGATTTATCGAGATCGCAAGCGTATTTAAATTCGGTCGACATTTAAAATTAAATTTGTAAATAATATATTTTATTAATATAATACATTTATCACATTTGTTTAAATATTTTATTGAAATATTCTGAATAATTTGTGAAAATAAATTTTGTTTTTGATGGCAACGAAACACCTGTTCGTTGCTAGGCGACGAATTTTCTCTGATAACGTTTAAAAGTTCTTTGTAAATTTTGAATCCTTGAACGATAAATAAGGCGTTTAAAAGATTTTAAACTTCGTTCAAATCGTATCATATTCAAATTGTGAACCTCCGATCCTCACAAAAAATGAACCTTAATATAAAATTTTTAAACTTTTTAACAAAGAAATGTCAATTTGGATTGAAATTATGGCAAACAAATTATATGACCACCAGCGCTAATCTGTTAAAATTGCATGAGAGAGGAATTTTGTCCGGATTGTTGCCCGGAGATAAGTTAGTAAGTTAGGAATTTTTTTATTGAAAGTTTAGTTAGTCGATCAAGTAATATTTATAGCGCCGTTATTTTAGTTTTATGTTCAACAACCCACAAAGCCAGATTAATAAATTAATATACTACTCTTCTAATCTAAAGTCTAACTAACCTAACGCTAACCTAACTTTCCCAATCTTCCACACTACACTCTTCTGCAGAAGTCCAGAATTGTTGAAAATGTTAACCAGTTCCAGGCAGACGATATATTGCGGATTCGACCCGACAGCAGATAGTTTACATGTCGGGAATCTACTTCCACTAATTGTCCTCTTGCACTGCCAACGAGCTGGCCATCAATCCATTGCTGTGGTTAGCTAAAAGTTAATTAAATATATAAAAATATGTTAATTTTTATCTAATATATATTTATATATATATATAATATTAATATGAATTATAAATAATATATATGAAAACGTGTTATTTTTACTAAATAAATACATATTTAATGTAGCATTCTCTCTCTAATGGTCTAATCTCAAGTTAAATCTCTAAAACTTTGCTAGTTGTATAAATTTAAATGTGTGTATCTATGTGTAAATGAATAAAAACATAAAATATTATCTGAAGATAGGTGGCGCAACAGTTCAAATTGGAGACCCCAGTGGAAAGATGAGAGACAGGCCAGTTATTCCTATAGAAACGATTGAGAACAACATAGAGGGCATCCGGAAGAACATTCAAACTATCTTTGAGAACCACAGTAAATATATAACAACATCCAATGAATGTAATAACAACAGAAGCAGAAAAAAACCTTTATCGCAGATTCAGTTAGGTTTATTCTTTTAATTTAATTTTTATAAATTACGTTGAAAATATAATGCTGAAATAAAAATAATAAAATAGAAATAATAATTAATGATGAAATAATTATTATAATGAAGAATTTTAGACAATAGAAACTGGTACAAAGAAAGGAATGTGATAGAATTCCTATGCAGTGAAGGCAGGCATTTTAGATTAGGCAACATGCTAAGTAGAACGAGGTTTGAGAAATTGCACACTTCCAAATTTCGCCAGAGTTATTATTCCATAATTAGTATTCCAAAATAATTATTTAATAATTGTTATTCCATAATTATTATTCCATAATTATTAATTCAGTGTTCAAACGAGGTTAAATAGTAATGAAGGAATCTCTCTTACTGAATTCATGTATCAGGTATATATATGTATACAAAACAATCAATCAACATATATATTATTACATAATTATTAATTATAAATATATTATACATACATCAATATGATTATTAAAAACTTGAAACTAATTGATCATTTATGTACCAGGTATTTCAAGCTTACGACTGGTACTACCTTTACAAAAATTATGGATGTTCCATTCAGGTTGACAATCTAGTGGAAATTCCTTTAAAAAATATTGCTTTATTTTAATATTAAAATTGATTTCCTAATGAAAAGACCTAAAATATCCGTCTAATATTGATTTTCTGCTATTGTGGTGTGTCAAGTGAAATACAATTTCTTGGTTGTACAGTGTAATAACACAATTTAACATTTCCAAAACAATAACATACAAAAAGATACAATACAATACGAACAAATCCCAAAACATCATACACCATAACAAACTCCATACAATGCACTCAGGTAGGAGGAAATGATCAGACCGGCAACATAGTGTCCGGGTTCGAATTCGTCTCTAAACTAACGAAAACCAACTTATTTGGTCTGACGACTCCACTAATCACCACAACAGCCGGGGACAAGTTGGGTAAAACCGCAGGAAATGCAATATGGCTGTCCAACGATAAGACCAGCTCCTTTGATTTATACCAGGTTTCATTTTCATCCTGAATATACGTATATATGTTAGGGTTTCCATGTATGAATGTATGTGTGTTCTTATACATGTTATAGCACATGAGTTTTTGTTCTTATACATGTTATAGTATATGTGTTTGTGCGTATTGCGTGTTCTCATGTGTGCAAATTCTACAGAAATGTCTATATTTGTAAAATTATTTTTTTATGTAAATAAATCAAATTATGAAGTATTTAAAACCAACTATAATTACGAATATCATTTTATGATGGGACATAATTTTCTTCTCCTATCTTAGTTTTTTTACAGAATAGCTGACGATGATGTTGAGAATTACCTCAAGCTGTTTACCTTCTTACCTGACGATGAAATATTTCAGATGATGTCTAAACATAGGGTCATTATAACTAGTCATCATTATTATTATTATAATTATAATTAAAACTATGATTTAAAGTAATATTTATATTTACGTTACATTTCTTAATGATATAACCTTTCTTTTCATAGAATTCTCCAGAAAAGAGGCACTCACAAAAAAGATTAGCAGAGGAAGTAGTCAAACTCGCTCATGGAGGTAGGTAAAAATTCTGAAAAAAAAATTCATTCAAAAGTATCTAAACACTGATAAACAAACATTAAAAAAATCTAATTTTCATACATATAAATATAAAATAATCGAAATTTTCCACATTCATACACGAAAAACCAAATTATTTCCACATACATGTTTACAAAAAATTAGCTGACTTGGCTTTTTTCACAGAGGATGGTCTAAAATCAGCTTTAATGTGTACAGAAGCCCTATACAACAGCTCTATAGAGAAGCTGTCACGCCTAACCAGAGATGAAACTCGGACAATATTCAGTGGAGCAGTCATGAATAAGATATATTTCGAGCCAGGAACAAAAATTATCGATTTAGTTATGAAATCAAAATGCTTTGATAATATTAGTTAGTATGTGTCTGTGTGTGTGTATGTTTGTGTATTTGGCTTGTATAGTACTGAGTTAAAATCATTAAAGAGGGAAGTTTAAAACAGTTAAACTGTATTTTTAATAGCGTAAGTATAATGCAATAATACCGTTGAACTAAACCAGCACAGCACATCATGTTATTAAATGATGTTCTAATTAAATCAATCGATTCATCTACATAACAAATTTTGTCCCTTCAAGATGACGCTACAAGGATTATAAAAGCAGGAGGGGTCCAGGTGAATAGTGTGAAAGTAGTTGAACCGGAATACGTACTTATACCCGGCCAACATATTCTGCCTAATAACCTAACTATCATTAAAATTGGTTGGTCCTGAAGTCATATGTTACCTTGAATATATATACATAAACACATAACCATAAACACGTTAAAATAAATTCTCTGGGTGTTTGTATAATGTATGTTGAATGTTCAGTTCAATATTCACGTTCTAAACTATGTATGTGTGAATGTATGGGCGTATCTGTATGTATACATATACATATATATACGTATCAAAAATTAACTGTAATAACCAATTTCACTCCCACAAAACAGGCAAAAAAAATTATTACATAGTAGATTGGCTGGGAACTGGTTTTGACAACTCTCCAGAGGAACAGCGTGCTAGAGATAAATTGTAAATGTGAATAAATATACTCTACATTTTTACTACAGAAGATCATTCGTTATTGCCCTATTTGACTTCAAATTTCAAACCACAAAAACATACACACGTACAAATTCGTTTATATGTATCACATTCTTCACACATACCTACTATCCATCTACCTACATACACACAGGTGCACCGACTGTAGTTAATAAATTCAAGAAAGAACATAATCCCACAGACAGTAATGAAAAATAATTGATATGAAGGTTACATAGGATGGTGAAAATACAACATCTTACTACTAAGATTACAAAGGATGATGAAAATACAGCTCCTTGCCACTAGCTCACAAGCATTGACAAAATGATAAATTCGTATTACTAGGCTGTGGTATATACACTCTGGGCAGATTTTATATAGGAAATTAACATACACAGGTCGACACACATACAAATAACATATCATTTTATAGATTTTAAAGATTATTAAGAGGATGAAATAAGAGAATTTAAATCAAAAATACTCAAATAAGATGACAATAATGACGGTTGTTGTCACGCAATACGCTACAATAAATCGATTCAAATGAATTCCGTTCGTACATTGAATAACTCGTTAAAGCAATTGTGCATTACATCAACATGTTATATATATATATATATATATATATATATATATATATATATATATATATATATAGAAAGATAGATATTAATACATATATATATGTGCAATATTTGATAAAACCTACCGAATTTTTAACTTTTGAAAGTTGAGCTATTCAATATTTCTAACGGTAATTTTATAATTATTATCCAAGTTATTAAAATTAGGAAGTGAATCGTTGGTGTTCATGGTCCTATTTCGACCTCACTCATCATCAGCGCTTATACAAGCTTGTGGCTATGTATGTTTGTGTGTATGTTTGCATGTATGTATGTGTATCTATCAACTTTAGTAATCATCTGCCCAGGGATTCTCTTCGATGAAATTATCGATAACTTCTTTTAAGGCGAGATTTGGAATCAGCTGATCTGTCGTTAACTCCTTCCTTGAAACTGGATCAAAATTTCCTAATTTCTGGATGTGAGTTGTGTGGGTAAGCAATAAAATTAGTGTATGATTAAAAGCTAATTCAACATCAAATTATATAAATTAAATATATTGTAATCTCTTCTAATAAAAATCTTCAGGAGATCTTTTAACTGTAAGTATTAAGGGAACGAAACTAACAAAGATGATGATAATAATGGATAGAACAATGGAAGAAGTAATAATGTTAAAATATAACAATGAAAAACTTTAAAATGTTCTTCTATGTCGGCCCTCTCGTACGTTATGCCACTGGGGGTGATGACTGGATCTTTCATTATGCAGAAATTAATCCGACTGCAGAAGACGTCTGGTACGTCTCGTTTCTGATTGGTCAATTAGTTGATTGGTTGGTTGGTTAGTTGATTGGTTGGTTGGTTAGTTGATCGGTTAGTTGATTGGTTAGTTGATTGGTTGAATAGTTGATTAAACGTTTTGTGATTTGTTTAATGTTTTTGTTTGGAATCAAATCTATAAAATTACAATCATTATAGAACCATCAACTAGATCGCCAACATCATCATCGTCGTGGTCGTCGTCATCATCATCATCTTACCTTCCTCCTATCGTCAACTTCTTCAAATAAGTTATTCAGTAATGCAATTCTGTTGGCCTGCAGTTAATTGTAACAGCACAATCACAACAATACATACAATAGCAACAATAACAACTGTGTAACAACTAAGTAATAGTAATAATAACACCTACGTAAGCATCTTCAATAGAGTCAGTTAAATCACTAATGACAGAGTTCTTACCATCCATCTCGTGCTGAATGTTGGCTAACTGTAACTGCCTGGTCATAATATAATTTAAAAAAACCATATTTTTACTGTCTTAAATTTTGTTATAATATAATTGCAATTATTATTAATGAAAAGAAATACAAATAATAGTGAATAATTAATAACTTTAATTTTTCCTCTACGAGAAGTGAAGTTAGTTCAGTTTGCAGTTCAATCTCCTGCTTCCTCCTAACATCCTCAGCCAGCAGGAACCTCCTCTTCCGGGCCTGCCTCATAACTTTTGAGATGCTATCCCCAACGTTCGCTCTTTGTTCTTTGGATAATTCCATTGCTGGTGGATGGATGATTTACAAAAGCTTTCATGTATATTGATAATAAAATTCTCAATTTTTCAGTTGATTTTATTTTTATAAAGCCATAACAATGGCTAAAGAACGATAATTGATAACAGCAGTTTTAAAACATCCCACTTAAAACTCTCTATTTCAAACAGCAATATGTAGAAAAATAATGTCAATTTCAATCTTTTTGAAATAAAAACTTGAAATAAAACCAACCTTTATGCAAACTGGCAATGGCTTCATCAATGAAATTAAGCTCTAGTAGTGCTTGGCCCTTTAGATAGTAAGCCTTGAAGTGACTGGGATTCATTTCTGCTGACTTCTCACAATCCTGACACGCCTGGTCCCACTGTTTCAATCTTATGTAACATATTGCCCTATTTGTGTACAATGTGGCTAGGTCTGGTTTCCTTATCTGCTTAATATAATTTTAAATAGAGGAATGGTTAGGTTATTTATTTAGCGACTGTTTTTGTATGTTATAATACATAAATACCTAAATTCATTGTTATTGTTACTAAAATACTTAAATACAAACATGGAAAATGTAGAAAAAAAGAAACTAAAAATACTAACAATGGCTTTTGTATAAAAATTGATGGCTTCAGCATAATTTCTGGCCATGAAGCAATTATTACCTAACTCTCGAAGGTCGTCTGCTGACTTTTGGCTGCTTGTCATTTTACTATTTTAGGAAATACTTTCAACACAATATTAATTTAGGATTGTCTGTTTTAATCTTGCAAAGTCTGTTTGTTCACTATAATACTAAATAAGAAAGCTAACTAACCTAAACTTTTAACTTTTTGGTGTTAGTGGTTAAAAATTTAAAAAAAAAGAAAGCTGATGGAAAAAAAACCAACACAGGTTTTTTACACAACCATTTTGCAATTTTTTATGTATTAGAGTTTCAATCTCGTCTGGTTGAAAATTTTTACAATTCAGACAACTCAGTTTTTCTATTTCCTTCTTTTTAAAAAAAAAGAAAATTTAAATATAAAATTGTTTGAAAATAAAAACTTTGTGGTGTGTGAAAAGCAGAAATAGAAATACTACTCAAATAGAAACTTGTTTCTCAACTGTGGAAGGGCGAAAATGAAAAATGAATAAACGAACAAAACAGACGCCAATTAATTCACACACTTACTAAATAAAATGAGGTTATTAAAGATATTATTTGAAATTAAATGCCTTAATTTGAACTTTTCAAACGAGCAAACGAAAATGTTAAAAGTGAACGTAGGCCATTATTTATGATGGCTGCCACGAGCGAAAAATTTAACATTAATTAGGTATAAAAAACGAATATTAAAACGTCGCAGTTAAGTTTTAATTTAAATTATTTCAACGTTTAAAAAGTTATTTGTTAAAAATAAATTTTAATTCAACTGGCAGAATTAAATTAAGAATAATATTTGAGGATAGTTTTACTTTCCACATGTTTCTATCATAGTCGTTATATCGTCCAGCACAGCCAGCTTCCATCCGAGAAATTCCCTAATTTGTTTTTTAAATTTTAAACGATCGATTTTGGTTAGTGTACATTTTTTGCTTCAACAACTTTCTAATCATTATGTTTAACATTAATTAGGTAATCATTAACTTAATAACATATTATATATATAATTATAATATAATATGTAAGTTGTAAAATAAAAAGGATGAACTCGTTTTTGTATTACAACACAGCCCATTGCAACAAGATATAATATATATATATATATATATATATTAGCTTACATATATATATATAAACAATATATTCTCTTTTGGTTTGCTCACTTTTTAAAATAGGCATTTAATTAATGATGAAATAGAGGGAACTCTTTGCTTTTTTAATAGATTTTATTTTTTTAACTAATTATTTCTATAGAAATCTTCCATAAAATGTCAGAAAAAGTTGCCATCTTAGATGCAGGGGCACAATATGGGAAGGTAATTTATTTAATTTACAACTCTTAACAATAAGGCAGTAATTTTAGATGAAATAAAATTAATTGAATTTAATAGAATAATTTAAAATTGTATTATATATAATTGATAGGTGATAGATAGGAGAGTGAGAGAGCTAAATGTAGAAACAGACTTTCTGAACCTGAACACCCCATCTGATGTCCTCATTGCAAATCAATACAAGTGACTAATTTATTATTTCAATTTGCATAATTATTCTACATGATTAAATCATTAGCATAATTTATGCATGGCCAATAGGAATCCTGGATAAGGTTTATAATTGCACCATATTATTACATGAAATGCAATCACAATCCTATTTTTAGAATTTTATATCTCAGATTTATTCAAATTTAATTATTCCACCATAATTATTATTACAGTAAAAACTAATTCATAATTTCATAATTACTTTTAGGGCTATAATTATATCTGGAGGCCCGAGTTCGGTTTATGCGGCAGATGCCCCCATGTACGACCCAAACATATTCAAATGTGGCATCCCCATATTAGGCATATGCTATGGCATGCAGGTGCGTTTGGTCTTGGGATTTTGATTTTGTGGTTTTGTAGTTTTTTTGATTTTGAGGTTTGGCTGTGTTGATGATTTATTTTATATTATTATCAAAATTCACTTTTAGATGATAAACAAAGAGTTTGGGGGTAAAGTAGAGAAGACAGACGCCCGAGAAGATGGTCAATTTAAGATTTCTGTCGACATTAATTCTCCAATTTTTAAGTAAATTAGAAATTTTTCTATCTGTTATTAATGGTTCATAATTAGCCTAAAATTTGATAATTCTATAAATAAAATTCTAAATATAGATTAATCTATAAATAGAATCCTAAAAGTTGGAATTCTCCATTGAAAAATGTGTCAAAAATAGAATCCTACATGAATTAATATTTCTAAAAATTGGAATTCTCCAAAAATAGAAATTTAATAACGGAACACTGTCTAAAAAATAGAAATTAGACCAACAGACAAATAAAATTTTAAAAAATTCAGAAACTTAGACGGCAACCAGATGGTCCTACTGACGCATGGAGACAGTGTCGTGGAAGTGGCTAATAATTTCAAAGTCATCGCTCAGTGTGGGAAAACTATTTCAGGTCTGGAGTCCAACGATTTGTCACTGTTGTTATTATTATTATTGTTATTATTATTATTATTATTCCAGCAATCTCGAACGAGTCCCTCCGAATTTACGGGGTGCAATTCCACCCTGAGGTTGACCTATCGGAGCACGGTCGTCAGATGATAAAAAACTTCCTCTTCAACGTGGCCTGCTGCTCCGGAACTTTCAGCTTGACATCGCGGAAGGAGGGATGCATTAAGTACATCAGGGATATGGTCGGCTGCAACAAAGTTCTGGTCAGTCAGTTTTGCATCCCCTGTGTTGGTCATTCTTGTTGTCTTTCTATTGGGTAGTTTGTTTTCTTCCACGTTTCTTGTCACCAGATGTTGGTGAGCGGGGGTGTCGATTCGTCCGTTTGCTCCGCGCTGCTCCATCACTCATTGGACAGCGATCAGGTCATCGCCCTGCACATAGACAACGGCTTCATGAGATACAACGAAAGCAAGCGCGTCGTCCAATCACTGAATAGCATCGGGCTAAAGGTCAAAGGTCGGCGACGACATTTTTCACCGTTATAGTAGATATCATTATCTTTTAGTGTTATTAATTACATTCAGCTATAAATGCCTCTCACACGTTCTACAACGCCATTGAGGCGAAGGCAAGAAAATCAAACAACGTATTTGTCATAAGCAACAACACCAACAACAACAATGGTACCAACAACAGCAGTAGTGGCTGTTGTGCCAATAGAGTTAAACTGCTATGTCAGACAACAGACCCAGAGGAAAAGAGAAGAATCATTGGAGACACCTTTATGAATGTATATATCTGCTGTTGATGTTGATGTTGTTGTTGATGTTGTTGTTGATGTTGTTGTTGATGAAAACATAACAGGTGGCTAATGATCTGATCAACGAATTAAACTTAGTGCCAGAAGAGGTATTGCTAGCTCAAGGTATGCTTTCTTCATTGTAGTGTCAGCAATAATCGTTTCATATAATTATAGTTATAATAATTTTATTATAACTACAATTAACAGTAATTATGAGATAAATTATAATTTATAGGAACGTTGAGACCTGATCTGATAGAGAGCGCTTCTGAACTTGCCAGTAAAAAAGCAGACGCTATTAAAACGCATCACAACGACACGCATCTAGTTAGGCAATTGAGGAAACAGGTCTGTCTGTTCGTTGATGACGTTGATGATGACGTCAGTATAATAATAATGATAATAATAATTTATTATGATAATTAGGGACGTGTTGTTGAGCCCTTAAAAGACTTCCACAAAGATGAAGTTCGGGCCCTAGGGAGAGATCTCGGCCTACCAGAAGATCTAGTACATAGACATCCATTTCCTGGTACCTTGTGCTTGTGGTGGTTTAGTAAATAATTAATAATAAATTGTAATAATAAGTTGTAATTATAATAATAAATTATAATAATAATAAATAATATTTCCATCCCTTCTTTTTCTTCCTCCGCTGTTAGGTCCCGGCCTTGCCATTCGAATCATATGCGCCGAGGTTCCGTACATGGAGAGAGATTTCAACGAAACTTCGAACTTCGTCAGGTGCATTGTCGAGTTTCACAATTCAACTAAGAGGGTGAGTTAGTGAAGTTAGGGAAATAGGGATGTGCTGTTAATGTGCTTGCTCATATTGCTATCTCTTTATTTCGTTTTTATTAGGCTCTCTTTGATGCATGTATCAATATTTGTTGACTTAATTTACTTGTTTTTCACTTCGTTGTTTCATTGTTATTTGTTGATGTGGTTTCTCTAATTATTTTCATTAATTTATTCTCACCATAGATTTTATTTCTTCTTCTTTTTAGCCCCAAGCTTTCCATAGCAGAATCAAATCAGGGATGTCAGATGAAGAGCTGTGCGAGCTGATAAGAATCACGGAGTCGACGCCATATGCATCTAATCTCTTGCCTATTAAAACCGTGGGGGTCCAGGTTAGGAGTTTAGAGTTTTGGTTTTATTATTCTCCTTTTATTGTTGTTGTTGTTGTCTCAAGGGAGATTCACGCACGTACAGCTACGTTCTCGGCCTGTCAGCTGATGGCAAACCAAATTGGAATGATCTGATGTTCCTTGCAAAAGTCATTCCAAGACTCTGTCACAATATCAATAGGTCGGCTATCATTATTATTATTATTGTTGTTGCTATTGCCGTTGTTGTACACACACACAAACAAACACGTACACACACACACATACACACATACAGAGTTGTGTACATTTTTGGGGGTCGAGTGCAGTACCAGGTAACAGACATTACGCCAACGCTGCTGAAGCAAAGAGTCATAGCAACACTTCAGTCAGCCGACCATACGGTCTACAGAGTCCTCAAAGACACAGGTATCTGCTGGTGTTCTCTGCTGGTTGTTTGGTATCAGTGGCTTATGTTGTTGTATTTGCAGGCTGATTGATTTGACACGGACGTGGAAGATACCTCATTATGATATACTATCAAAAACTTGCCAGGATACCATGATAGCATTGGTCAAATGCCTGTCATCTTGATCCCTATCCACTTCCATAGAAACCCTCAGCACCACGTACCTTCCTGCCAATATTCCATTGTACTGCGACCTTTCATTACTTCGGATTTCATGACGGGAGTAGCTGCTGTCCCTGGTCGACATATTCCTGAGGAGGTTGGTTGGCTGGTTGGCTGGCTGGCTGGTTGGTTGGTTGGTTGGTTGGTTGGTTGGTTGGTTGGTTGGTTGGTTGGTTGGTTGGTTGGTTGGTTGGCTGGCTGGCTGGTTGGTTGGTTGGCTGGCTGGATGGTTGAACAGCTTGGTAACCAACCGACTAACCGAACTTCGTTCTTTTATACAATCTAAGTTTCGTTTGTTTCCGAACGAGTTTACAGTTTAACTGCCAACCAATCTTATATACATATTAACATAATGACGACATTTTTAATTATTAATATAGTAATAATAATAAATAAATAATAATAAATAAATAAATAATGATAATATTTGTGATCTTTCTATCAGGTGATAAACAAGATGGTGGAGTTCGTGAAGTTGATACCCTCCATAAGTGCCGTCCTTTACGACCTGACATCCAAACCGCCAGGAACAACCGAATGGGAGTAGTAGTAGTAGTAGTAGTAGTGGTAGTAGCCACTAGCAGAAGTTGTGGCTGTAATTGAACTTTAGTCTCAACTGCTGTCATCAATCATTATCTCTATATTTTAGGTAGGAAAGAAAAATAATATAATTTAATCTGGAATTATTAATATTATAATATTCTTCGGTGAATCATTTTAGAAAGACTTATCAAAATTCCTTATATCATGTGTTTGTTTGTGTGCGTGTGTGCTTCCTGCTAGTGCTCCACACCTTGATGACTAATTAAACGGCATTCACCTAATTAATTAGGCCATCAAATCGAGTTAATTAATCGACTTTGAATGCTAATTACGATTGGCTATGCGGGATTTTTAAACTACCAGTGAATTGTGGTGAGTGTTTATTTTAACCTTGGTTTCGTCTGCGTACAATAGTGTGGTTTTTAGAAACAATTATTTTATTATTTGTTAATTATTGTATTAATAATAACGGTTATTATTATTATTATTTATATATATTATTATTATTATTAATTATTGTTATTATTAATTATAACTAATAATAATCAGAGGACATTGTATTTTAAATACTTTTCTTTACAAGAGTAAACAATTTTTTCGTGATCGTCATTATGGTTGTATAAAATTTAAAATAGAAAGATTTGGTTCGTGGATTTTATGAAGATGAAGAAGATGATGATGAAGATGACGATTATGATACTGATGCCAAAAAATGGAATGTTTATTAGGATTTGATTCGTTGTTATGAAAATTGGATGAAGGAGATTAATGTTATATTGACAACATCAAAAAATTCACACACGTTTAGCACTTTATGTTTGCATAATTATTAAATAATTGAGATGAATGATCAGGAGTGAATTGAATGAATGAATGATCAGGAGTGAATGAAGGAATGAAAGATCAGGAGTGAATTGAATGAATGAATGATCAGAAGTGAATGAAGGAATGTAACGAAGTATAAATGAGTGAATGAACATTATTTTCTGATAAAAGATACGTTGAATATTAAATCGTTTAGAAATGACGAATGAAAATTTGAAAAAAGCATTCGAAATGGGTTTAACGTACAAAAATAAGTTATATATATATTACTATATATATTAACATATATATTTTCATATATACGCTTAAATATGTCAAAATTATGCTCAATTCTCTTGTTTTTTGTTTACTTTTCGACTGACAGAAGCAGACTTAATTCTTTCTTCGATAAACGCCCGTCGGTGTTTTTGTCAAAGACACTGATGACAGCGTTCTTATAGTCGAGGACCTCTGTCAAGGTGACTTTCTGTGAAAATTATTGTTAATGTTGTTGCTGTTGTTCTTGTTGTTATTGTAAGATAGATGATACCTGCTTAGTTTTGTTCATGATGTCGTAAATTAAGGCCATTAGCTCTTTGCCTTCTATGTAGCCATTGCCATCCTATTGTTAAGATGATCGTTGTAATATTTATAATTATGGATGAATAATAATCATGAATATGTATATTATTATTATTTATGTTATTATTATATTATTTATGTTATTTTTATATAATTTATATTATTATTATATTACTATTATTATTCGAAGGAACCAGCTGACTTACGGGATCGTAGTGGCGGAAAATGTCATTGAAATCTTTCTGGGATAACTTTTGAAATAAAATAATTATAGTAATAATAATAATTATTATTATGATAAAAATAATAATTAAAATAATAATTGTTATGATAATAATTATGATAATAATTTTTATACCGATTTTCTACAGGCGAACCTCTTCATGAAATTATCTTCCAAGGGAAGTAATCTGATTGATGGAATGAATGAATGAAAGAATGAATGCTTGGGTGAATGAACGAAAAACAAACGAACAAATGGAGGAATGAACGAACACGTGAACTAACAATCGTTAGGAACAAATAGGCGAATGAACGACGAGAAGAATGAATGAACGAGTGAATGGAAGACAAGATGAATGAATGAATAAACAAGAATAAAAGCAGACCACATGTGTGCGAATGCAACATAATTCGAAGCAAATCCTCCTAAAGAAGATTTAGACGAATGGATGAACAGAGCATTTTCATGTCAGGAATTATTATTTCCAGGTTTGTTTTTTTTATCTTATCTTCTAGATTTTATTTATATTCCGTATTTTTTCACGTCAGTGCTGCATGATTCATTTACATTTTTGATCTAACACACACAGCGGTACTGGTAAGTTCGTACGTAAAATACGGTAAAAAACCCAAGCACCACCATTGCAAGGTATCAAAAGCAAATACCTGATACTCTTGCTGATATTCGATAGAGTATCAGATTAGTATCATCGTCGGTATCATAGGTAGATACCTCGGCAAACACCACTGCACTACTAGTAAAGAGTATCATAAAGAGATATTATTGGTATCATCGGCGGTATCATAGATAGATACTACAGCAACATCAGAAGATTCTGTCAGTACAAAGTAGGCAACAGTTGTTCTGGTACTCCTTGTGCTATTTACGTGAATAATTTTTTTTTTTGCCAGCCGTGCGGTGACGTCATATTTTATTATTCATGAAGAGGTCTTCCCTCGCGCCTTCAAACAAAACAAACAGCCGAAAAATGTGGAAAATAGTTGAAACAACATCTATTACTTCAACGACAACATCATCACATCAACAACAACATCATCACATCAACAACGGCAACATCATTACATCAACAACAACATCATCACATCAACAACGGCAACATCATTACATCAACAACAACATCATCATCACATCAACAACGGCAACATCATTACATCAACAACAACATCATCACATCAACAACAACATCATCACATTAACAACAACATCATCATCACATCAACAACGGCAACATCATTACATCAACAACAACATCATCACATCAACAACAACAACATCATCACATCAACAACAACAACATCATCACATCAACAACAACATCATTACATCAACAACAACATCACAAGCAAGCAACATTTATTCACTGTAATGAGTCGTCACGTTTTGTCATCGGTTACTACCCATTAATGTCGTTGTTTGTCTCTTGCAAGATTTTTCAACAGCATACTACCATTCTTTATTCGCTTCCAATTGTTGCTTTGCTTCGCTTCTTTGTATTTTTGTGTATCTTCAAGTCGAAGTACCTACCTATAATTAGGTGATTGTAGCTTCTATCTGCCTGTATTTCTATGGAGTGTTTCTGCTTTTCTGCTTGAGATTTTACTGACTTGTGTCTTTGCGTGTGTGTGTGTGTGTGTGTGTGTGTGTCTGTGTGCGTGTGTCTCTGTACGCTAAGTAAAATAGAAAACAAAAATTTTCAAAAGCAGCTGGATTGAAAAATTAAATTAACAGGTAACAAAGCAAGAGGCAATGAGACAAAAAAATTGAGACAGATAGACGGACAGACAACTAAACAGACAACTAGACAGACAGACAGACAGAGGCAGACAAATATCTTATAAACGCGTCACTACATCAGTTCCATCAACAGACAGGTCGGGTCGTTAAAAATTTGTTTAAAAAATTCGCGTGCGTGACGTCATTTGGTGTTTTTTTGTTTTGTTTTTTGCTTTTGAAGTTTTGATTAATTAACGCTCATTAACATCAACAGCACAACATTAAAAACAACAACAACATTAACAACAACATCAACAAAGCAAATAGCTTTTTTCCGAGAAATCTTACTTGGCGAATTCTCCCAACTCAATTTTTCCATCATGATTCTGATCAGCCTCACTGAGAACTGCATCTCTTGCCTGCTGAATCACTTCATCTGTTATTTCCTGCGACCGACGAATGAATGAATGAATGAGTGAGTGAGCGAGTGAGTAAGTGGGTGAATTATCCATTCGTTCGTTTATTCGTCTGTTCATTCGTTCGTTTGTCCAGTCGTCGTTCATTCAATCTTTCATTCGCTCAGTCATTTCCGCAAGAGATAAGTTTTGAAATTATTCGTTTGTTTGTTGATCCATTGTGGTTCGTCTATACAACAATCCATTCCTACCTTCATTCATTCATTCATTCCTTTATTCATTTTTTATCTTTCATTCATTCATTCATTCACTCATACGTGCATGAATTGTTGGTATGTATGCCGTGCGAGAGATTGCAGTTAATGACTTGAATATGTTAAAGGGCTCCTCTTTACCTGTGGTTCCTTCTTCTTAACTTGTTGCTACTTTTGACGTACACCTACACACACACACATACACACACACGTACAAAAGCCTACATACATACACACACACACACACACGTACAAATGCACATACACATACAAACACACGGACACACACATACATACAGATACAAGCATTGAAACATGCGCTGGTGATAAAAAACAATGCATCTCCTGATCGTTTCTCCCTTGAAAAAATACCTACAACGAGTTTTATAGAAGCAACAGCATCGGCAGTAGCCGCAAAAACCGCAACAGCCACAACAGCAGCCACAGCAGCGACCACAACAGAGGCCACAACAACATCATCAATATGCATATCTTTCAACAATAACGTCACCATCATTAACGATGACTGTGGCTATAGTATGCCAAAAACAAACAAACACAACAACATCAATGCCACAAACAGTTACTACTACTACTACCACTACTACTACCACTACTACTGCCACTACTACTGCCACTACTACTGCTACTACTACTACCACTACTACTACCACTACTACTACCACTACTACTGGCACAACTACTACCACTACTACTACCACTACTACTGCCACAACTACTACCACTACTACTGCCACTACTACTACTACCACTACTACTGCTACTACTATTACCACTACTACTGCTACTACTACTACCACTACTACTACTACTACTACAGTAGATTTGATGAAGCCAAACAAAACAAAAACAGACCAGAAAATTAATTTAATAACAGCAACAACAATCTCACCCATAGCAACAACAACATCAATGCAATAACAATAATAACAACAACAATAATAATAATGATAATAACATTAACAACAACAACCAAACCATTCAACATAAAAATTCCTGAAACGATCTGCCTGATATAAAACAATGCGGCCCCGTCGTCGTCATCATCATCATCGAGACAATGACGTCATCATGGACCACAACAACAACATCAACAACAACAACTACCACTGCAACTACTACTACAACAACAACAATGTGAGCAAGAATGTCAGAGTCAACATAGAAATAAACAATTACATTCTGTGTTATCTGCGAAAGATGAAAAAAACATAAACATCTGCGTCATCTTCGTCATCATCAACAACAGCATCAACAACAACATCAACAACAACATCAACAACAACATAGTCACCATGTGGAAAAAAATAGCAACACTGTCCCCAAATAAACAACATATTCCTCTGCTCTCTGCTGAAGTAAAACAACATCATCATCATCATTATCATCATCATCATCATCATCGTCGTCGTCAACAACAACAACATCATCATCGACTGTGACGTCATCATCAGAGATGACGTCGTCGTCGTCGTCATCTTCGCTGTAACAAAAACAAGCCAAATAAACTTAACACGCATAAATAAAATATAGTTTTATAAAAAAAATTAGTATTAAAAAATGAATAGATGGAATGAAGGAATGAAATACATACAAAAAAGAAAGAAGAAAGAGAGAGAGAGAGAGAGAGAGAGAGAGTGGGGGAGAAAGCACTTGCAGTTTGAAATTTACTATTGTTCGGTTAGAATGTGAAAAAAGAAT